ATATATATATATATATATATATATATATATATATATATAATCGGGGCGGGGCGGGTCGGGGCGAGGATAACCACTCCTTTCCCCGAACCCGATAAAAAACCCGATAACGACCCGTTACCCGACCCGAAATGATCGGGTTTCGGGTTTCCCCGTCGGGTTCCGGCTTTTTTGCCATCCCTAGCCACAGCGGTGATCACTGCCACCAAGGAGTCGCGAGTTGGGAATTTCAGGTAAAGAAAGCAAGAAGCTTTCTCTTTCATCTTCGTCACTATTGAGCACATTAATTTCCGATTGATTCAACCATAACATATGAAAAATAGAAGAACCGAGAGCACCTGAACGAGAAAACACCACGCATTAGATACCTAGGTGGGTGGCGAGTTCATTGCTCCACCCTAGAAAGAAATCGGAAATGATGGCCACTGGTGGTGAAGGGTGGGATTGAAACCATTGGACGATGGGGTCAAACAGTTGTTGGGTGGCAATTACTTTGGCGATAAGGGGATGAGTGGTGGTCGGTTTCATAGAAGAGGAGTTTGTGGAGGGGAGAGGGGTATGAGGACATGGGTGGACGCAGGATTTTATAGTATGGGTTTCACGAAAATTTTTAGTATTGTCATGATAGTAGGAAAAAAAATCAAGTTACATTACGTCCGAAAAACCGGGCGTTGTCAGTACCACTACTGACACCATAGTAAAACCGTCATTGTATGAGGAGATGAAAGGGTGGAGTAGAGTGAGGTTGGAGGGGGAGATGATGATGATGATGGTGAGGCCATGACGGAGGAGGAGGTGGATGAAGTCGAGTAAGGGGATAATATGGTTGGAGCCATCAATAGGGTAGAAGAGTAAATGTGTGTTGTCAGTCATGTTTAAGTCATTAATAGATGATAATTGTGCTATTAAGGTTGATATTTATAAGCTTAATATTGATAGGGTAAAACTTGACTTTGGCATTTTTTTTATGAATTCTTAAGAGTTAAGAGTCATGCCCATTGTTTAGATTGTCTAGAATTATGAAAGAGGTATTAATTAGTATTTCGTGCATAACAACTTATGTAAACCATTAGACATTTGCAACAGATCGCATGAAGGGTCAGATAGTCTAATAATAAATTGAAACCAAAACACAGCAGCTTATGTTAAGACATAGATGTTCGTGACATATCCATCGAGTCAAAAGCCTCCATATTAGACAACTGTAAGGGAGCACCAATTTGTGACAGCTGAACCTACGACTAAACCAACCGAAAACAATCGACTGACACCAGTAACTTATGCATATCTTAAGAAAGAGATACACACACCAGGCGACATATCTATCTATCTTTCTACTTTTTAGCCAGAGAAACGTATTTGACTTAATTTCCTCCAAAATCCATGATAGGGATGTTACCACATTGTTGAAAGTGCGGTCATTTCTTGCCTTCCATATGAACCAAAGAGTAATCAAGAGAATCTCATGCATCACTTTCTTTTGTGTTGGGGAACGACAAAAACAATGTGAGAGTGCTAACAATTGTTCCAGATTTTCTTACATCCAATTAAGGGTGCAAACGAGCCGAGTCGAGCCCGAGCCTGACCAGGCTTGGCTCGGGCTCGTTTAAGTTATAAGGGGCTCGAGCTCGAGCTCGACTTGATTTGAGCTTCATTGTATTGAGCTCGGCTCGAGCTCGTAAAGAATTATACAAGCTCGACTATGGTTCAATCTCGACTCGTTTTTTGTCTAACATGCCTTAATAAGCTTAGGCTCGGTTCGAGCTTGGTAAGAAGCTCGTTTACTAATACCCTCTATCCTTAATTCCCCAAATATGTTTTTATTTTAATATATAAAAATAATAATAAATTATATTATATACAAGCTCGTTTAGGCTCACGAGCCTAATCAAACCTACATAGGATCGAACTCGAGCTCGTTTAATAAACGAGCTTAATATTAAGCTTGAGCTTGGCTCGGGCTCGTTTAAAATCGGTTTCGAGTCGATCTTTTAACGAGCTGATCCCAAGTAGCTCACGAGTAGTTTGGCTGTTTGCATCCCTACATCCAATTCACACCAATTCCTGTGTAGCTCCCAAATCTCCATTACATTTTGGCACTGCAGAAAGAGATGGGTTTCAGACACACCACATAGTGAACACATTGTAGATGTGAGAGCCACTCCTCTTTTTAAAATCGCCACTTTACACGGGAAACGATTAGGTACCGCATGCCACCCAAAAAAATTATTTTTAATTGGGACCCGGTTGTTCCAATGGTGTTTATACGGGAGGTTTTGATGCCGACTCCCACAAATGCCGCAAGGAGCTGACCGCGAAAGATCCAGAGATGTTTGCAGTCCACTTCCACCTATCAACTAAACAAGTAAGGCTGACTTCCTAGAGCACTAAATTGCAACAAGTAAATTCGATTTTTTCCTCCACTGTTGTAGGCAGTGGCGGATCCAGGATAAATATCAACCGGGGTCCACTCTATAACTAAAAATAGTCCATTCCGACGGCGATGGCCGGAGATCCCTCAGGCAACTGTAGCATTCCTTTGACAATGGTGGCAGCAGGAAGAAAGCAACAAATTGACGTGGTTTCTTAAGAGTTATAAAAGTAGATGGAGTTTTTGATGATTTTTTCAAAGGAAATGAAAAAAATCTAATGGTGAAAACTAAAATTGGGTAAAAATATATCCATTAGAGCATACTTTAAATAAGAGAAGATGCTCAAGAGGGTGCCAAGAGAGGGGCATCTGCACAAATTTAAAAGACTCTTTTCCAAACCCAGACCCATGCGAATCTGTCCCTAATTTTATGATAGAGATCTTTGACCATGCATTGCTTTTGCGATTCAAGTTTAAACAGCAGCGGAGAAATATCTTTTAGAATTCCAACCCCACTCCAATCTTCATGCCAAAATGCCGTTAGATTCTCATTTCCTAATTCTTTTTTGAATAGTTCAGCAATATTAATAATTACTGTGGCAAAGTCTTTAGTTATACTCAGAATGTTTTTCCAAATGCAAGATACCTCTAAACTAACTGGGAAGAATTTCCAAGTCCAGTCCATTCTATGAAGAGATATGACTAGTTTCCCCCAATGGGGAGAAGGGTCCGACTTGAGTCTCCAAAGCCATTCGACTAGTAGAGCTAGATTAGAAGTCCTGAGACTGATGACCCTATGTTTGATTGTAGGTATGAACCGGTAGAATCTCTACATATGGGGGTTCAACCTTAAAGAACCTAACATATCATACAACTATTTCAGTTTTTAATACTTTATAAAAAACTATCACGTGTAGAACTAATAATCTAAATTATATATTAACTTTTTAATCTATAATAAAAATGTGTGTATGTGGGGTGTGCATGTATGTAAAACAAAGGGGTGCATATCTAAAATTATGATTAACAATCATATATCTTTTTATTAAATTAGCTGCTTAAATTACGAGAATTTAGAGCTCACATATAAGCTTAACGAACATATCCAGATCCCTTATCGACGTTCCTCCGTTGACTGCCTTGTTAGCTGCTTGACTTAGCTCCTTTACTTTAACTCGTTCCAATATCTCCCCACTCAACGACTCATCCAACAATCGAGCCAACTCAACCGAGTCAGGTACATTATCGGGTTCACCCTCACAAGCTCGTTTCCCAACACCCAACTCGTCAACCAATAACTTCTCATCTGCATATTGGTCAGCACCCATTGGCCACGTCAGCAACATCACACCCGCTGAAATTCCTTCCAACGTGGAATTCCACCCACAATGAGTCACAAATGACCCTACAGACCGATGTCTCAATATGGCCAACTGTGGGGCCCACCCTTCGACTATGAACCCTCGATCACCCACCCGTTCTTTAAACGCCGAATCACTTCCTTTTGCACATAAAATAAAATTAACATTGCTAAGCTCAAGTGCACCCGTTAATGCACTCATTTGCTTCTCGTTTAATGTGGTTCGGCTTCCAAAACATATATAGACAACAGACTCATCTGGTTTGTTGTCTAACCACGTGAGTAGCTCATGAGGTGGCGCCGCACTTGCCCCGCCACGAGCGGTACCATCTTTAGGAAGTAATGGGCCAACGGCCCAAACCCGATCATGACCCATTTGTTTCTTCATGTGATCCATGTAGGTTTTCTCTAAGTCTTCAAATGTGTTGTACACAGACCCCCAACTAGTCATATTAGCCAACATTCCTTTCCTGAAAGACTCATAATCCGGATCTCTTTTTTTAAAATTACGTGAGACTGTTGGCAACTGCCACATTTGAAACTCCGGCGAGCTAGGGATTTCCGGGAAAGAAACCAAGGAGTTATCATCTTTGTCGACACTATTATAGGTGTTATTCTCTGCCGCATCACGCCACATGGTTTGAATAATGGAAATACCAAAAACACCTGAAGGGTTGAACACCACGCGCCGGATGCCAAGTTGGGAAGCGAGTTCACTAGTCCACCCGAGAAAGAAGTCAGAGATGATGGCTACCGGCGGCGAAGGGTGGGATCTGAACCATTTAACGATGGGGTCGAACTGCTTCTGAGTGGAAATTACTTTGCTGATAAGGGGATGAGATGATAGGTTGATTTCGGGATCAGGGGAGAGAAGCTTGTAGAGAGAAGAGGGGTGGGATGAAAGGAGAGGGTCAAGTAGTGGGAGGTTGAGAGGGGAGATGACGACGGTGATGGTTAGGCCACGGCGGAGGAGGGTGTCGGTGAGGTCGAGTAAGGGGATGATATGACCGGAGCTAGAAAAGGGGTAGACCAGTAAATGTGTTGAGTGAGTCATGTTTAGTAAATGTTTGATGATCCGTCCAGGGAATAGAGAAACTTGGATATTTATAAGCTTAAAAAACAAACGTAATGGATTATTGGATTTATGATTAAAACCGTGTGTCGACTACCGACTATCTGGATAGATTGGTAGAACGTGGAATCTTGGTTAATGAAGATGCTTCGTGTCGTTCGTTTGAATACTTAAAATTAGTAAATGTGTTCACTGTTATTTTATTTAAAAAATGGAAACATTTAATTTAGAAGCTAACAAACAAAACAATGGTATGAATAATGAAGTGACGTCAGGGCTTACGTTTATTCTCTATAAATAATCACTTGAGTTAATGATAGGGGGAGGAAACAAGTCGACGGGTTGACATTGAATTCCTCTTGTGGGTCCATCAGTGTCGTGGTTTTGGTCTTTTCGATATTATGGAATTGGATCATGTCGACTGTTTTCCAAAACTGTAAAACAACTTCAAACCTCATTTTTATATTGTATTTAGATCTTAGGGTCTAACCTTTCCAACTCATTTCATCGATTGGAGTTAATTTATAACCCAATCGACTCATTTATAGGTAAAGGGGTTGAAATTGTCATTATCTGTAATACAAAATCTTTCTAATTTTCAAAGTTAAAATGCCACGGTCTTATAAAACAAGGTAAACTTCAGGTGTGGGTCACAAGAGATTGGGTTGATCCATCAACATTTTTCTTCTACTTGAGGAAAAAAAAAAATTCATCCATTATGAACATTAAATGGAAGTTTTATCAGGTGGCCTGAGCATAACGGTAGAATGTATGTTTTGGTCTTTTAGATCATTACTACTAGCGGTATATAAAAGAAATAAAAATGTATTTTCATATATTTATGTATTATATGTTTTGGTTGTTAAAAAAAATTTGTATCCTACTTCCATTTATTTATGTTATAACATATTTTAATTTGAAAAATATATAACAATTGGAGCATGATACTGTCACTTTTTTCCTTATTATAACATTGTTCATATTCGAGAAGAACCATTTTTCATATTCTAAAGCTCAAAACTTCAAATTAGCTTGAGGTTTAACAAAATCCTCAAGCAATTAATCTTTCTTGATATACGTTCTTTTTAATTATTCACATGTTTCATGAACAATTTAAATAGTTTGTTAACCAATTTTAACATTAACCCAAAATTTGACTTGTTAAACTTGTTATATGAGGTTACTTTGTTTTTTTAACACTTTAAATATTCCATGACCTTATGATACTATTTTTTTAATTCACAGATGTTTTTTTTGAACATTTTAAATAGTTCATTGTCCAATTTGAAATTAACCCTTTTTATTTCCAAAACCAATGTTTGGGTCTTTGAGAGAGGTTATATATTTCATTTCGTTTATATTAAGAAGTATTTTAGATAGCATAACTCCAAATTCATGGTTAATTACTTTTGAATAGTTGTATACAACGTAACGTTTTTTTTTATCATGTATTAAATACATTATACGAGGTTAATTTATAAACTTCATGCCGGTCAATTAAGGAAGTGTTATTGCCATTTTGAAATTTGAATGATTAGTTAAATCAAAGATTAGGATTCAAAATGTTTGAAGGTAATAATTTTTGTCGTAAGTCATGTGCATATGTTGCTATCCAGGGGTTTCGTGCATACATCAACTAACACGTGAATTCCGTATATTTATATCACAGATGCTTACTTTACTCCTTTCACTAAGAAAAAGAGGTGCACAAATAACTTGACAAGGAAAATCCAACAGGTTGCATTTAATGTAACACCGGGTTAGTAAAAATAGTTTGAATAAGAAATATACCAACAAGTGTTAGGATTATTGCTTTCACTTAACGAGCAAGATTATAAATTTGGTTGGGCTATATTATAAGGGAATTTTGTTCACGTATTTTATAAAAACTTAAGATTTTTGATTGGTATGGACCGGATTTGAAACTACTTAAGTTTCTCTTATAAAAAAAAAAATAAAAATAAAAAAAAAATAAAAAAAAAAAAAAAAAAACTGGCTTTGGCTAAATTTGTATTTGTTCCGACTTCTGAACCGGTTTTTGGTATCCAATCCTACATAATCGGTTTGGAAAACTGATTTTAAGTGACTAAATGAGCACAAATCAGAATGTTAAGTGACCAAACCAAAAGTTAGGTGATTAAATTAGCACAAAGCCAAAAGTTTGGTGATCTTTTAAAACTTAAAATGAGTTAAGTGACCAAATGAACACAAAATCAAAAGTTAAATGACCAAAATGACCTAAATCTTTTTTTTACTATTCCAATAAACTTTTGAAAAATTATTTTCCATTGAAGAACAAAACGTCATTCTAAATATTTATTAAATTCTTTTTATTAAATTAATAACTAATTTATAAACCAAAAAAATATTTTTTATAGAAAAGATTTTACACTATACTCTATACTCTACTTGTAGTTAGGCCTCATATTTTTTTATTAGTTAATCAACTAATTTATTAAACAAAAAAAATATTTTATAAAGAATTATATACTTTTCCGGTCCATACCAATCAAACATCGGGTTATTTCCATAAAATACCTTATATTTTGACTTTTTTTCTTTTTAGACCTATAACTTTTTTATTTTCCGAAAAAGACCCAATTTTTACCTATTACTTGCTGTTTTAGACCCTAGCAGGTTACCAACAGGTAAATTAGATATTTTTTTTTCATAAAAGACCCTATATTTTATAGTTTTTTCAATTTTAGACCTAAAATGTTTCTTTTTTTAAATAAACTCAACTTTAAAATTGGTTATAATTTTCAAAACAAAATATATAAGGTACTTCTTGACTACACCGAAAAAAGAAAATATACATGTATAAACTAAAAAATGTTATCTAATCTATTATCTTTTGAGCGAATATAACCTAGAAGAATTGCAAAATTTTATTTTTGTTTAAAAGATATAATTAAACTTTATCTTGGATATATATTATATCATTAAACCTGATATAATGTTTATAAAAAATGTTATTATTACCGCTAATAAAAAGTTTGATGTTAATTTGATATTTTTTGGTAACATGGATAATACATGGCTAGGAAGATTTTTTTAGCATAATAACAACTTTTTTTATTTGTAGAAAAAAAATACATACCACGTAATTTAACAAACTGTATACAAAATAAATTTTTTTAGTTTGTCTATTATACTTATTTGGTGAGGGGGGCAAAGTGGGCAGCTGCACATGACCCAATTTTTTTATTATATATATTATATATATACATTTATTTAAAAATAAAAAACTTATAATAGCGATAGGAGTCATTTTTCCCTGACTCGCCCTGGGCATTTGAGGATATATACATCTCTAGGACCGGTCCTGCCAATATTGAATAATATTTTATAATTATATCAGATACATACATAAAAATATTAATCCTAAACATTCGTAATAGTTTTGTTTAGATATATCAGATTCAAGTTTAAGA